CTCAGTTACAGTCTCTGCCCTGTTCATTCTGTGTCTACCTCTCTGGGCTCTACTGAGCTCACACACAGGCTCTGTTCTCACTCATCTTACAACCCCTCCCTCAGGATCCAAGGCCCTTTTGTGTGTCTGCAGCTGATTGAACTCTTCTCCTCTCTGGTGAGGCTACTGGACAGAGTTACCTACACTCTTTGTCCACTTCCTTGGTGGAGGATGCACACGCCCTCCTGAACGCACAAAACCTGGCCTCTTTCCCCCCATCCACCAGTCCTGCTACTGCAAGGTCACCAGTGGCCTCTCAGCTGGTAAAGCTGGAGGACAGGTTTTGGGCATAATGCTCATTAACTTTTCTGTGGTGTTTGGCACATTGATTGCCCCTTTCTTCCTGATATTCTCTCTCCTTTGAATTCTGGGGCACTGATTTTGGCTAGTTCTCTTTCAGCCTCCATGGTCATATTCTCTCATTTTCTCTTCCTCTTTTTTTTTTTTTAAATAAATTTTATTGGGGAACAGCCATGGTCATTGGTTACACACCGCTCCCATGCCACAGTGGCATAGACGACTCTCCTAGGGAGGGTGCAGCTCACAGTGGCCCACGGCAGGATCGAACCGGCAACCCTGGCGCTGTCAGCACCATTCTCCAACCAACTGAGCCAACCGGTCACCTTCTGCCGCTCTGTTTTTACACACCCCTTTTCCACGGACTGTTCCAATGTGTTTATAATAAGATATATTTGGTTTGGGGGCTATTAGAGGCCAATAAACCCAGGGATTCAGTTAGCCCCCCCCCCCCCCAGAGCTTGGATGCCACGTCACCCATGGGGATCCTGGAGGAAGCACAAGCAGAGGGAATCCCTGTGTGTGGCCAAAAGAGGCTCTGCTGTTGGCTGGTCAAAGCCTGTGAGCCAGCAGGACAGGATGTAGACTTCTCCTTATTCCTGCCTCATTCAGGTCTTAGACCAACCAGGCCAGGAGGCCAGAGAGAGAAGGCAGCTTGGATACCTGTAAGGTCTGTTCCACCTGTGCTGTGAGAATGATCGGTGGGAAGAGGGAGCCACCCCCAGGCACTGACCTTTTATGTTCAGTTAACAGACCCGTGTGCATCCTGGAGGGGGACTGAGGGGTGGGAGGGAGTTACTCGCCAGGATTCCACCCCCACCGCATGTTCTCCCTGCACACCTCCTCCAGGTGAGCCCAGCCGTTTCCATCACTGGAGGTATCACCTGTACATGGATGACATCCAGATGTGTGTTCCCTGTCAAGGCTTGTCTCCTGGGCTTCCAGCCAATGTAGGCAAATGCTGGTGGGACTTCTCTATTTGGGTGTTCCACTGGCTTCTCAAAATTTACATTTCCTAACTGAAATGCTCATCCCTTTTTGAGCTCTCCACCCTCCTCCATCACCCCTTAGTTCAGCAAAAGGCACCTCCGTCCACTGGCTGCCTAAGCCAGAGTCCCAAGGCCAGTGGATTCTACCTCTCTAATGTCTTCTGTATTTGGAGGCTCTGACTCTAGCCTCATGGTCACTTCTTTCTCAACTGGATTATTGAAATACCATTGTGATCTGTCGTGTACTTTCAGCTCACACCTAAAAATCATCCTTCTTGTGGTCTTACGCACTTATCTGTTTATGTGAGTTCCTGATCACAGTGCTTAACTTTCCGACCTAAACCTGAATTCTTCCTAGGAATTTCTGCATGGCCCCATCTCCCTGGCCTCCTTGACCACTGTACTAAGCTTCCCCACCGTTCAGCACCTTTGTTCACCCCATGCCCTCTGCAGGAACACCTTTACCCAAATCTGCCGGGCTCCCTATCTGATTGCCCTTCAGCACTCAGCTCAGCTGGCACCCTCCAGGGAGCAGTCCAGGGAGCATTCGAGCTGGCTTCTGGGGAGGATGCTGAGTGTCTGGGAGCCATTCGTGACATTCTTGGCATCTGTGAGACATATCAATAATTATTATTTATTATTAGCATACTGGGGA